TTGATTGTGATGATGGTTTTGCATATGTCAAATGTTATCAAGTGACACATTTTGAATATGTACAGTTTTTATATGTCATATATACTTCTAAAAAGATATTTAAACAATGAAACAGATTGTTAAAAGATAAAGTCAATCACCTAGAATACAGAGCTAACAGACAAAAGCCAGAATAGGAGAGGAAGATTATATAATAAGGATTAAACCATTAAGTACAAAATCTGACTAATAGAAGCATATAAAAAAAGGTGGAGAATATTTTCTTAAAAAAATAAGATAAGTGTTGAGAGCTCAGAGATACATATCTTTAGATTTATTTGGAGTTTTACCCAGGATCTAACACACTATACAAAAAAGACTCATGCTACATGCACCTTTATGAAATATTTGATAGAAAGATGTCCTAAAATTTCCCTTAATTTAGGGGCAATTGAGTAAGAGCTTGAGAAGCTGGGAGTGAGTCCATATAAGTAAATAAAAACTAGCCAGCATCAAACTTGCTATAAGCATCACTAGATGATAAAAATACAATGGTACAATGACTTCAAAGTTCTAGGAAAATTACCTCCAATCTATGTCAATACCTAGCTAACCACCAATTTAATATAAAGAACTAAGGAAAGAATTTCTGCAATCAAAGCCTTCAGAAACCATCTGTCTCACACCTGCTCCTTGGACATTAACTGAGGATGAACTTTAGCAAAAAGAATAAAACCAGGAAAGGGGAAGCCATGGGCTATTAAAAATGTTGAAACTAATTCAGAAATCAGAGGATGAGAGTTTTGCAGTAGGTCCAAAAAGCAAGCAGTTTTAATTTCTATGGGAAGACAATCAATGTCAAGAAGAATATTTTCATGAGGAAAAACAGAAAAAGTAACAAACAATACATTTAATGCCGAAGGTGATAATGTTATGTACATGGGTAAGAAAGAACCCATTCTTCCTTAATTAAGAAAAAGTAATCCAAATTAGAAACTCAAGAATGGGTGTTTGTGGGTGATTGGGAGGAACTAAAACCTAGGAGAGTCTTGATGCAAAGAGATGGGCTATATGGTTTGGATCAATAGAAGTAGTGTAGGGAAAAAGTAATTCATTTGATCCAGACCTTAGGAGTATTCTTCAAATAGCCCGAGAAAGACATCATCCTGAATCCATCTGAGTAAACTGTTTAGCTCTGCTCTGAATGATATTTGTATACTTAACAACTTCAAAGTTTTTCATTGTTTTTTAACTTTCAGTGAGGTGGGAAGCCCCATGAAAAGACTGGCAGGACCCCCAGGCAGGGCCACTACTTTCCCGCCAGCGCCATCCTGTTCCCTGGCCCAGAGGCATTATCTCCCTTTTGTGTTTTTGTAGAAGGACTTGCTTCTAGGAAAGCGAAACTGACCCCTAAGATCCTATTGTTTCCCAAGGCTCGCTCCTGATTGGTCCATTTCTAACACCTTATTTGCATATGGTGTTGCAAAATGTTGCAAAGTCTTGACTGGTAGCCTATAAGAGCCTGGGGGTCCAGCGCTTCAAGTGTTAACTCCTCTGGACCTGCCGGTATAATAAACCTGAGTTTTCCAACACTCCGAGTGTCGCTTGGTCTCTTGCCAGGATCCAGGTTGCTGTAACACTGAGCTGTAACACACTTTGCTGTAACATTAGAATAATTTATAAGTAAAATCCTGAAGGCTGAAGTACAGTCACGTGCTGAATGACAAAATTCTCAACCTCCACGATGCAGTAAGAGTTGAGCATCTCTTCTCACACATTGTCAATTCATCCTGCTTTCCAGGCAGAAAAAATTTTAACTATAGTATTTCTGTTTTTTTCTTTCTAATACATATTTTTGTGCGCTCAACTCAGATCCTAAACCCTGAGCACTTACATAGTATATAGCTCAATGATGTGAGCTGTTCACTACTTTTCAACATTTGGAATCACTCTATAAACATATCGAAGAATAAAATGCAAGTTTATGATGGTAGGCAAAATGTAAATGTTTTCAACCTTGATAATGTAAAAGTATATGGGGAAGGCATAGCTCAAGTTATAGCTCGAGTGGTAGAGTGCATGCTTAGCATGCGTAACATCCTGGGTTCAATTCCCTTCAAAAGTGAGAAAATAAGTAAACCTAATTACTCCCCCCCAAATTTTTTTAAAGTATAGTTACAATTAACAGAAGATGGAAGGTGAGGAAAGGGAAAGAGAAACCCATGAAGAACTGGGGTGTGAACACCTTTCCCTAAAATAACAGGGTCAGGTGACTGCCGCTGGACCCGGGGGGGAATCAGAAATGCAGATTTAAGTTGAAAGATACTTTCTTGTAATCACTGACTACCAGGGCTGCTAACTAGCTTCCTTTTTGGTTTCAGGATGCACACACCCACACCCACACCCACACCCACACCAGACATCATGTGAAGTCGGCCGCTTCTGGGGACAACATTTTGCTTACAAATTCTGTCTGCATTGCTTGCCTGTGGATTTTGAGTGGAACCTATTTATGGAAAAGGCAAGGGCCACAGAGTAAGTCCCTCTAATGCCAGGAGTGCTTCAGTCGCTAACCATTGTTGCTTTAGCCCCACAGGGGCTAAACGTCCTAACTTAATAATGTTATCACAGGGTCCAAAGAGTCAATTTTCTCTGAAGAATAATTTTCCCATTCAGAGGAGATCTGACCATCCCTGTCCTCTAAAAGCTGGTGAAAAGGAGGTGGGAGAGAATTGTGGGAAACAATGCCTAATGTGTTTGTGGCCCGTGGCAGCCATGGGGACCAGGGGTGAGTAAATTCTGGGTAGAGGCTCTCACGTATAATGGACCCTGCATTCAGTGGGGCTTTCTTGGTCAACCAAAGGTGGGATGCTTTTAAAAGAAGCTTTAAGAAATTTGATGACAATTTGAAAATCCTTTATTTTTCTGTAGTTATTGGTAATTTCAACTTGACATCCGAGTGAATAGTACTGTAGCCCAATTAAGTAAGAACTGTCCCCATAGTGGCGTTCCAGTCCTAGACAAAGGGTTCTTGTGAAATAGGTCCAGATCGGGACCAAGTGGACTAGGGATGTAAAACACTGGTCCATAGGTTAAAAAAAAAAAGAAAGAAAAAGAAAACACGAACTGTAAGGAATTACTGACGAGTTTATATTACTTTGTTCAGAGCAGGCACATTGGAAGGCGATTACGTTCCATTGAATCCAACCTCCATTAAATCTTAACTGGCTGAGGGCATTTTTAAGACTGACAACCACCGTGGGGAGCTTTCCCTTCACAGTGTGCACATGTGAGCCGGCAGCCTTTCAAGGGGTCTAGAGATGTATTTCCCAACAAGATTTCTGTCTGGTTTGAGGTGTCTGAGGATCTGAGCTAGTTCATTCATTCATTCATTCATTCATTCATTCCCTCACTCACTAACAGACACTGCTCATTACTTTCTCACTGGAGACAGAATGAGGAAAATTGCTTTTTGGTTCCCAAGAACTAAAGAGTAGGAACCATACCACCTGTGTCTGACCTTTAATATAAAAATATTTCTCTCTTAAAACACTTATTTGAAGACAAGGACAAGTTGGATCTCTGTGTGTCTAGTTGGCCTTTGAAGTTCAGAATCAATCATGATAAAAAAAAAAAGTCAGGGTCCAACAGGTCTCACAGGCAGTCAGTTCTGAGCTTACTTCTTTCTACTTTCAGCATAACCTAAACGGGCACGTGCAACAAAAATACCCGGAATGAAAGTAACCACCCCATTTCAACAACAGGTAGACAAGGAAGAAGAACTGTATCCGCCTTCACATTTAAGTCAGTTAGTCCTTTTTTAATAAATTTGAGTTCATTCATCAACAAGTTTCATATTGTATCTATCACTCAATTTGGCTGTTTTTCTTCATGTCAAATAATACCAAAAAATTACATCAATGTGCTTAAGCAAAATTGGGTTTTAATTTATCTTTACAATGAAATGAAATCAACATGGGAATTGATCATGACAGCAGTCGCCTACTCCTATTAGAATAATCCTGTACTTACCTTGAACACACTGACTGACTTGTGAAGTAGAAATGTGACACAAGAATGACAAGGCGGTTCCTGGGGCTCGTCCTAAGGAGAGGCATGGTGCAGGGGTCACGCTCTGGGAGGTCACTGTTTACCCAGGGGTTGGGAATTGAGTATTTCAGGAAAACATGGCACCTTTCAATGCAGTAGAAGAGGTAATAATCGATCCAAGGCACACTAGTTGTGTCCTGGGAAAATTTAACCCACCCGGGCAGCTCTTTGCCCCACGATTCAGTGTTGCCCTGACCGACGACGGCTCACCAGAGTCAATTCCACGAGTAACAAAACATTTCGCTAACTGTCCCATTTCACTTACTGAACATGGCCAGAAGTATGAACTGGTTTTCAGGTGTCGAGGTAAAGTAAGAATTATGGGATGGTTTATCACTTCAAGCCAGGAGATTCAAAGTCGGACATGTCCTCCGTTTTAGAACACGCCATTGTGGGACAAACACCAGTGGGATTATCTACTAGAGGCTGAAAATGAACACCTGCAGTTGCCATGTGCCTGTCCCCTTAAAACCAGTCCCAACGGGCTTGGCAGCACCTCTGAACTGAAGATCTCCTTGGTGAGAATGTTAGTTCCATAGCTGGCCAGGGGAGAAGTGCCTCTGATGTGAGTGGCTGAACATGGCAAAAGTTCCGGGTGCTGGCATTACAAACACACGATAGTGAGGATGCACGTGGAGCAGGGTATTACTGTGACATATTCCTAGTGCACTTAAGATTCAGAGGGAAATGAACATCTCCTGGTATAGACAGCGAAAGCCTCTGCAGTCCTGGGGTTGGTGAACGAGAACTTGTTTCAAGATGCCTCGGTCTTTTCCGTCTTTCTCTGTAGGGATGTATGTAGTGGGCTCTGGAATTGTCTCCAGTGTATCTGAATAGGGGTAATCCCAAACTTATCACAAGATCTTTCTGCACGCTTTGAGTCCCCGTGAAGCATTTTGGAAAGACAGGACTACATAGAAAATCAACTTTTTTATTACGTTCAGGTGTTGAGAAAGAGAGATCATTATATTCCAAATTCAACTGTTCTCTCCTGACTCGAGAAGTCTGGATGTGGGTAACAGCCACCTCAGATTAATGTCAGGGATCCGGGTTCAGAATTCATCGACATGCCTTACTCACTGGCTCCCATAACTACTCTGGAGTAAAAATGAGAGGACGTCGTAACTGAGCGGAGAACCAAACTCAGCTTTGTTCTGCCAGCACGGAGTTCTGCTTCTCAGTATTTCGGACAACTTTTAAAAATGGAGAAGCTATAAAAGAACTTTATTAGAAGAAAAGTAATTTTCTTCTAAAATGGAGTAAAGCAAACACATATCCAAGGATTTTAAAAAGTTTTTTTTTTTACAGAATATATGTATTTGTGTGTGTGTGTGTGTGTGTGTGTAGTTACAAACACTATTTATAGTATAGCTATTATGTTTAACGTCATCGCAGTGTCTACAAAGTTGTGGATCCCAGTCTTGGTGCCAAATGCATATAAAAAGCTCAAAAGCTATCATGACTATTCCATGCAAATTTATATCCGGAAAACCTTGGGAGGGAGACTGCAGCTCCTCTGAGCCCCGGGGGGGTCTCTGCCGTTGAGAGTTGGGTACCTCAACGGTGCATCGAAAACACCTCGAATCACTTTTCTCCCAGAAAGAATTAATGTCACAGTTTTGAACGTGTAAATCCTACACTTGAAGCAGCCGCTGACACTTTTGTCAGCGCTCATGTGCAGTCTGGGTCCCTTTTCTGCATGTGGAGCGCACGCCTGAAATCGCTGATATAAGGAAAAGGTACCTGAAGTGCTGAAAGGGATAAGGTCTTCACAATGTCTTTTTTTTTTTCTTTAACATGTTAACAGTGATAAGGCCACTTTACAAGGTTCTCCCCAATCTGTTTAATTGTTAGGATCCCCCATTGTTACCCATGGGAAAAAACTGTCAGAGAAAAGCCAGAGAACAAGAAATCACTTGGCTAGTCTCCGGACAAAACTAAAACCAGAGAGCAGCGGTTGGGAGAAGATGCAGAAAAAAGGTAAGAATGGAAGAGGGGAAAGGGAATAAAAATTGGCCATTGCTTCTAGCATGAGATTTTGTGGACGGGTCTACCTGACAGTGGGTTTGGACTGTTACCAATGCCCGCAAGTTCAAGGTTGTCATTAGCCTCCAAGGAAAAGCAAGTAGTGGTCGCTCTTGGGGACAGCCCTCGGCACCCACACCCGCAGGGAGGTGGGGGTGCCTCTATCTACAGGGAGAGAGCTGGGGCCAGAGATGAGAGCGCTGGACGAGACTCTGGTCACTGGTTTTGGACAGAACAGAGAGGGTGAGGCATGTGTGGCGTTTTGGGATAAAGTCTTAATTTTGCAGTTCTTTCCTGAATATTTTGCTTTTTTTTTTCTCCAAATGCTTAACTTCACTGTGACATCTGTTTACACAATCTGTAGTCATTTCAGTTTATGGATGCCTGTGATAGAAATATTGTTTACAAAAAATATATCATCTCTTTTTTTTTCTTTAGAAAGATCTCATCTAAATAGTAAGTTAAGGTTGCATCTATGAAACCGGTGCACCTTGTCTTGTTTCTACGAGCTTTAAAAAGTCCAAATACTGATGAGGCTGTGGATCAGAAAGAACCCAGAGTGACTGTGTTTGTGGTCAGGTTGCTCTCCTTGGCCTCAAGAGAACGGTCATGGGTCACGGGTCACGGGGTGATACATGGTGTGTACTGGTCGTGTTCCTGCAGGGTCCCAGCTCCACTAGGAGGAGTTGGATGTGCTTGTGAGAGATGTCAGATACAGAAATAAAGGCGTGAGGATGCTTCTCAGTTGCTGAAACTGAACAGAAGTGTTTGAGCTTCAATCTTAATTATAGAAAACAGAAAGCAGGTACAGCACATAAAGAAAAATCTGATCTCGCATGCTGCCGTGAGAGCAAGCAGAAGAAACCAAATCTCGGTAAATATACATGGATATGCATATTATGCAAATATATTTTATATGAACACACAATGTTATAAGTGGTCGATAACTCAAAGACAAGGGGGAAAATCATCCTAGACGGCCTGACCTTAGAGTTATTCAAATAACCTGAGACGTCTAAGCTTTCTGTTAGGTATCGGGCTTGGAAATCTGTGAGAGATGTGGAGCACATTTCCAGTGATTGAAATGTCAACTAAAGATCGCCAAAATGTGCCACTGTGTTCGCACGTGACGTAAGCTGGATCCACTCCAGGTGAACAGAAAAGACACTGTACATCGGAGTACTTACAATGAGATGCCATCTGTTCCCAATGCAAAAGATGGACATTCAGACACCAATCTGGGCTGTATCTACATGTAAGAAAACAGGTGAGCCCACGCCAGGGGCTCACATCATCCACTGACCCAGTACAGAAGAAGTTTGCCTGGCGAAAGCAAACCGCATCACCTTTCAAGCCAAAAGCCTTCGCTTAATAAACCGAAAGAGAGGATGTGAAGTATGCGACTCGTTCTAAACTAGCAATACCACTGCATGAGTTTTTGAAGAACAACTAAGAGTTTCTTTCTGATTTTTAAACTAAAACATCTAACTTATGATCGTCAAAGACACACTTGGGGATGATACTGTGTTTCGCGCCCTCATTCTCAAGGCATTACTATTTCGACGATGCTTGTCCCTTTCAATTAAAAAAGAAAAAACTATGACTTTCTTTAATATGCATCCTGTGTTAAATTGTCCATAGCTGCAAAATGTAGATATGTATGTGTATTTGTTTTACATACACATGGGTCCTTACGCCTGTGTGTATAAACATATACACATACATCCTCATATACACGTGTATTTTATATATATGCTGAGAAAGTTCACATATATATACAATTGCGTATGTATATATGTGTGTGTCTGCGTGTGTGAGTCTGTGTGTGTGTACAGGTATAAAAACTTGACAGGCAGAGTAATATTTCACTCAGTGTTAAATGAAGTCTTTGAAAAATCAAGTACAGTCACTCAGTTAACATAGTACAGCCAGTAAACTAAGTTGAAAAGAGAAAAAGTGAATGGAAACACGATCCTGGACCATCTGTCTATGGCGTTCACATCCGTCAGATCGGGGATCTTGATTTTGAGCTGTGAAGACCTCCTCCGTAGGTGGGTCTTCTTGTGCGGGATGCCTCGGTCCCCCATGTGCCGCCCGTGCCCTTCCCTGGGCATGCTCTGTTTCCTGTACTGGATTCCTGAGTTGTCAAAGGATATTGCTGAATTCCTGGTGTCGCCAACGCCGCCTGCAACCTCGTTCATTTCGTTGTGAACCTCCAGCGATGTTAACAGGATATTTCCATGAGCATCCACCTGATGGGAAAACATACCCTGTTAGCCGCGAGCAAGCCGGGACACCTCATTTGCACATGCAAACCCGGGGCAGGCTGACGTCACACTGTCACGGCCTGTACATTAGGAGAAACCGCACGTTTGTCAAACCCAGTGCTTTGTGTTAGTGAGAAGTGTCATCTTGTGGGCTTAACTGCAGGTTAGAGATGTTATTTCCTTGATTTAAAAATTCTCACGTAGAGTGACTTACGGTGAAAGGGAATGTGAAAACGAACATGTACATGTTCCTGCACGACTGAAGCACTGTGCTGTCCACCAGAGACTGACGCAACACCGTACACTGACTGCACTGCAGTAAAAAATATACATAAACAAACAAACAAAACAACCCGAATAAGACCATAATTGTATCCAAAAAAAAATTCTCACATAGAAAATTACAAAAACTCAGGAAGTCCTTTTCAAATTGAAACTTCAGGTTATGAATACAAGTCCTTATTGACGACAAAATCAAAGTGCAAATGCCTTTCAAGAGGTTAACTTAGGTATTAGAACCATTTTCCACAACGACACACTGGAGAGAAACTGTACTCTCCCATTCCTTTTCGGAGTCAGCTTGTCCTCTTTTCTTTTTTCTTTTTTTACTGAAGTGCAGTCAGTTACAGTGAGTCAACCTCTGGTGCGCAGCACAATGTCCCAGTCACGCATATACATATGTATATCCGTTTTCATATTCTTCTTCATTAAAGGTTATTACAAGATACTGACTGTATTTCCCTGGGCTATACAGGAGAAACTTTAAAAAAAATCTATGCTTTAAAATCCGTTTTATATCTAGTGGCTAACATTTGCAAATCTCAAACTCTCAAATTTATCCCTTCCCACCCCTCTTCCCCAGTAACTGTAAGATTGTCTACTGTGTCTGAGAGTCTGTTTCTGTTTTGTAGATGAGTTTATAGTATCCCTTTTTTTCTTTTGTTTTAGATTTCACATATGATGTCCCCTTTTCTGATGGTACAAAAATATCCAAATCACCATGAAGAAACAAGTGAGTGCTGTGACGAATGGACACTCCTGAAGATTCTGGTGGAGTAGCTGAAGACCACGCCCAGATACGGTCTCGCCCAGTCTGGGCCCTGGCAGGAGGCCTCCTTCTTAGGATCTGCATTTAGGATAAGCTTAAGTCCCTTCTCACACTGGAGCCAAACTTTAAAATAACATTTTATCCTGTGCTAAATACAGCTTCAGACTTTCCATGATCACGCCAGGGGTCCATGTGATTCGTTGGTCTGCCGTGAAACGTTCATGGAGCAGGTCTGTGGCTGGCACCAGATGTGCAAGGGATGAGGTGAGGAGAGAAGCCTGGGGGCTTGTGCTCATCCCGGAGCAGTGTCAGGACCGCAGAAGGGGTGGCTCCAGACCCCAAAGTGGCCCACGCACAGGAGCGGCTGCAAACACCCTGGGGCCACTCGGGCTCCGGCACCAAAAAAGACTCAGAGGTTGCCTGCCCCAAAGTGTGGGAATACCGTTCAGTTCTGCTCGGGGAAGGAGAGGTGTGGCCATCAGGAGGTTGCCCCTTCCTCCCCAGAGTGCGATACCTGACATGCAAAAGGGACTCCGAAAATGTAATTAAGATTATGGCCCTTAAAATAGAGAGATTAGCCCGAATTATTCAGATGGGCCCAATCTAACCTAGGAGACCTTGAAAATAGAGAACTTTCTGCAGCTGGAAGCAGAAAAGAAAATGAGAAAGATGGGAGTGGGGGAAATGGGGGAAGGACACAGATACATATATGCTTCTGTAAGAATAAAACACTGTTGAAATTAGGGAAAAAAAAAAAGAAAGAAAGAAAGATGCGGCAGAAGTTGAAAACCAGACAGATTTGAAGCGCAGGAAGACCTGGGTTCGCCCTTGACTGAGGGGACTGCAGCCTCTGGGAGCAAAGACGGCAGCCAGCTAGACAACGGGGCCTCAGTCCAACAACCACAAGGAACCATGGGCAGCAACCTCAATCAATCTGGGGACAGATTTATGCCCAGTGTCTCCAAAAGGGAACACAGCCCAACTGGACCCTTGCTGCAGCCTCCTCAGACCCTCAGCAAGGAACCCAACCGAGCCCCACTGCACCCAGACGTCCCACTGTCCCTCCCATTGTGAGGCAATCTTTGCGTGTTGTCTTAGGTGGCGGTGTTTGTGGTCATTTGTTACGGCAGCAATCCTAACTCCTCTAGGAGGGAGCAGGGAGCATTTCGGGGGGGCTTGCATTTGAATTGGGCCTCAAAGAATGAGGAGGAAGTTCTCAGACAAAGGCTTGAAGCATGACTCAGGTGTTTTGAGAAGGGCCGGCTAGGTGAGTGGGACTCAAGTCCTGAAGAGAATGGAGACACACACTCAATTCCTGGCACGAGCTAAGCTGGAAATGGAGGAGAGAACTGTCATTCTTAACGCTGCCACCATCATCTGCCTGTCACCTTTGGTTACCGGAAGGTCTACCTGGAGATGGATGGGAAGCAGATCAGAGTCAAGCCATTAAAGGAGTTTCACCTTTACCCTTTAGGTAATGAGAAATAGAAGTGATTTCTAGGTTACAAAGTGACATATTTCTGAAGCCCCGCTTAAGCGGCAGGATGAGGAATAAAAGATGGATTTGAGAGGAGAGAGGGAAGAGGGGGAAGGTAGTTGGAGTCCCCGGCACTGGTCTCCGTTCCCTTTAGGGCAGCCTGGGAGAGAAACGCCAGGAGGCGCTACCTGCCCCCCACCAGCCACTGAAACCCATCCCAGCATCTCCTCTAGGCCACGCCAGACCCCTGGCATGTCCACAGCAGTGAAGATGCTCTGACACCACCTGGTCCAGTCTGTGTCCCTGCAGTTAAGAGGGTGGGAAAGGAGTGCAGTTCCTCACCACCATGCTCCCACCTGGTCTCCTGGCCCTTCCCGAGCTTCCTTCAGACACACTTGCAAGGTCCACACAGGGCGCTGCAGCGTTAGCCTGGGTTGTGCCCAGTGTCCCCGCGTGACGAGTGAGGAGTGCCCAGTGGGGATGGACCGCGGTCTGCGGTCTCCCGTAGCCAGCCCGCCGGGGATGCTGGGCCGTGCAGATGGACCAAGAGAACAGCGTACTCACTGGGGAGAGGGCTTCTCAGGGAGACTCGCGCTTGGGCAAGGAGCAGAGCACTGACAGAACAACACTAGAGCTTTGTTCTTTATTTTAAATTCACTGGAGGGAAAAATTCAAATGGGGCTTGGATCTTGAAAATACTAAGAACGGTAGAACTTTCTAAGAGTTTGCAACTAGCCTATTTCTGTTCTTTTTGTTACCTTGTCCTCGAATGTTTAGCTGCAAGACTCTCATAACAGAAAACTCTTTTTTCTTGTTTTGAGGATCGATGAAGCATCCGGTGGTTTGGAGATTGAGTCACGTGGGAGGAGCAGCCTGACAGGTAAATGAAGGTGTGGCTGAAACAGGACAGCAAAGGCAAGGCCAGCCACGCAGCAGGCACAGCAGGCCCCCCGCAGAGACCCCCGGGGCTGTGCGCATGCTGGGGTCCCGGGAAGCAGCCACTGTCCCTAAGAACCTGCTTCGGAAGCTGCGGTCAGCTCGCTCCTAAGGCAAAAAGGAGGCGAGCGTGATGGGGTCAGAAGAGCTGGCTTTTACACTGAGGAGAGTTGAAAGCAAGATTGGAGCAGAAAGAAGGCTCTGTTTGTTTAACTTTTTTTTTTTTTACTTTATTGCATTGGAGGGGGTAGAGGTAATTAGGTTTATTTATTTGTTTTTTAATGGAGGTACTAGGGGTTGAACCCGGTACCTTGTGTATGCCAAGCACGCGCTCTACAACTGAGCTTTACCCTCCCCCTCTCCTCTTCTCTTTATCCCTCTGTCCCCTGCCCCCCACCTCCCGCACCTTCCTGGTGCCTTATGCCACAGGAGCTCAGGGTCCTCCTGCAGAGGGAGCCAACCAGGGCAAGCCTGTTGACTCAGTTATTTTAGGACCGTGGTGCACATGTGGGACACCCCACCACAATCCTGATTTTTCCATCATGGCAGAAAACATACTAGGTTATCACTTAAAGAGATTTAATAAATCGAGATCATTTATCAAACTAGCTCAATTAGATTTAATTTAACTTTTGTTTGTTTTGTTTTTGCTTTTTGGGGGGGAGATAATTAAGGTTACTTATTTGATGGAGGCACTGGGGATTGAACCCAGGACCTCGTGTATGCTAAGCACACGCTCTACCACTGAGCTCTACCCAGCCCCGCCACCCAATTAGATTTAATTTAAATGTCCAACATTTAAACAGAGTTAATTAAATGGTGAGCTAATATGTTTAAAAATAAAATTTATCTTAAGTTGAGTCACAAAATAACCAAAGGGGGAAGATGCTTGTTTTTTTTAAGTCATAATGTAGAATTTATTCTTCTTAATGGTAACCGATTCTTAATGGTAACATATTAATTCAACCCTCAGAAGACTGAAATTGTTTTCCTGAAGGCAGAAAAAAGAGGAAGCACTATTTAGCTCTGAAAATCTCTACATTCTACGTAGCAGTACACGAAGTACAACACTGCCGTGGGGGGAGGGCCCAGTCCTCCACTCGGGAAGGGGTGCGTCTCACTGGAAAGCACACAAAGGCTCTGGGTCCTTCCTCCTGGGTGTGCGTGCAAAGCCCCACCGCACACCTGCCCCGGGCCCTGCCCTGTGCTCCTGCCATAAGAGATGGTCGTTGCTAAGTAACGGGGGTCTAGCAGATGAGAGCTTCAAACTGTCAGCAAATACAGCTTCTAAAGTATCACACATTGCCCTTTATGCACGTTTTAAAATACATGTCGACAATACCATCTCTCTTTCTAGTTATCAAAAATCCCATATGCAAAGCTCCTTTTATCCAGATCTGGGGGAACGGGGAGGGGACAGTTCAGTGGAAGAGCACATGTTTGGCAAGCATGAGTTCCTGGGCTCAATCCCCAGTACCTCTATAAGAAGAAAGAAGAAAGGAAGGGAAGGGGAGGGGAGGGGAGGGAAGGAAGAAAGAAAGAAAGAAGGAAGGAAAGAAGGAAAGAAAGGGAGACAGAGAGAGAGAGAGAGAAAGAGAGAGAGAAAGAAGGAAAGAAAGAAAGAAGGAAAGGAGGAAGGAAAGAAGGAAAGAAGGAAAGAAGGAAAGAAAGAAAGAAAAAAGAAAAGAAAAGAAAAGACAAGAAAGCAAAATCTAGAGGCTGATAATGACTGTATAGAACAGAAACATTAAATAAAGACATGTCTTTTCTTAAAGGAGTACTTTGTATCACGTTTACTAGGTTGGACTTTGATGGTTCTAATGACTCAGTGTCTCACGCGAATTTATAAAAAGGTGTGTTTATGAACTGTCCCCTCTTCCCTCTAGGACAGTGAGAAAACACGTGGGTGCAGTGGGACCTAACTGATGACAAACACCACTCATTCGTGGACGCGCATTCTCTGAGCACTTCCCACGTCCCAGCCAGGGTGCACACATTTTGGCGGATGCAGAGAACAGAGGGTGCCTAGGAGAGGGCATGGTGGCCCCATGAAATGCGACCAGCACAGGGCGTGCGCCCTGGAGGCTGGGAGAACAGGGGCAAGACCCGCGTCCTGGAGCGGGGAGTGACAGAGGCGGGACGGGAACAAGCAGTAGGAAAATGAGGACAACATCGTGGAGTAGGCGCCCGGCTCAGGTCTTGAAGGAGGGGAAGACGTGGAGGAGAAGAGAGGGTTCTGGGAAGAGAGACTCAAAGGCCAGGAGACCATGAGGCGTGCGGTGATTCCAGGAAGCCGCAGGGAGAGTGAGGACACCAGAAGGAAGGTCAACTGAGCGTTGAGTTGATTTTTCAAGATTTGCTGACAAATCTGTATTAATCAGTATCCTGTCTTCCCTCGTCCCTTGTGGCCAGTTTGGGGCATTTGGGAAAGGACTTGAGGAGGATGGGGTCTCAGTCTGCGCCCTTGGATTGTCATGAAGGAAATCCACTTGAGGGAAACCAAACTCAGCATCATCAGTGTTTACAAAAGCGGGGTGCTCCCGGCGCTCTGACACCGTGGCTGCCGTGCGGCTGTTTGCCACGGTCCCGCCACTCCATTTCAGAGCGAGTGAGCAGCTCCGATGACTCAGTCACGCTGAAAGGAAGCCATTCGAGCAATCTAGTTCGGCTGCTTATGACACAGTTTTACATCTGCATTGTTTTCATTTAAACGTGAAACCCACGTGTAGAAAATTTCCACCAAAATTACTAGAAGGTGGGTTTTCTTTCCCTGAAAGAACGAAAGACTATCAAAATCTGTTAAACCGTAGAAACTGAACATTGTAAACAAATATTTCCAGAAAAGATGATACTCTTTCCCTATCTAGAATTTAACTCTTAAAACAGATGGAGGTGACTGTGGGTGAAACACACAACTGAAATGCCCCGTGTAGAATGGCAGCTGAGGACGCGTGATTTCTGAAGCATTTCATGGATCCTCCTTATTCTGGGGACTTTGTCTCATATCCAGGATAATTAGCCTCATTGATTTCCATGTGGTTTTTCTTCCTGCCCTGTAACCTGGACACATGCAAACATTCAAAGATGACAAACATCTCGTGTGGAATGCATCCCAGAGGGACTCGCTATTTTTCAAGAATCTGTCACCAGACTGGCACATTGGTGATGTCTCATTTCCTCCTTACCTTCAAGCTTCAAAACAAGTAAAATACTCTAGTTTTAGGAAAATACGATGTGTCGTATGAGGAATGATGTCAAGCCTGCAGCGCTGAATCCTTGGCAAGAATGATGACTTTCTGCCACTTCATGAAATTCAAATACCATTTGGTCAATTTGTGAAATATCACAAGGCTTGTAACCATAATACCTGCATTGCAACCAAGGACTAAGTCTTGGGTACAGAAGCAACTGAGGAACAAACAGAGGTTAAGCATGCGTAAATTAAGGTCAAGATTTTCATCACACTGCCAGTCTGAAGGGAAATTAAGTGACCGTGTGATGATGAATTAAGTACTAAGTTAAAACAGAGTTCAGCCACTAAGTGTAAGGAAGACCTACTCCTGGTTTGACAGTGGGGTCAGCAGTCCCGTGGTCCCAAAGGCAGCTGCTGGTGGCATAGGTCGTCTTGGTGGCTGACAGGGCCCCTGAGGACACTGCCCTGACATCATGTTCAGGACACAAGGGCAGTGGTCTCAGGAGAGACAATGACAGCCCAAGCCCTTCCTGTCACCCAGGGTCCATCTGCAGCCCCCAAGCCTCGGGGCTCCCGTGTAGGGCAGAGGGGCTCTCTGAGGCCATTGCTGGCTGCACTGACACACAGCCCCGAGACACAGCCCCAAGAGAATGAGTGAATAATTGTAATTACAAAGGACTCCAGAAGCTGCTGGCCTGTGCTGTTCTGCATTAAATCTGTGATTCTTTTCTCACTTTCTTTTCATTCATCTGTACCATCTGACAGAAAAAAAAAACCCAAAACACCAAACAAACAAAAGGAAATTTTAAAACAGGGAGGATATAGCTGAGTGGTAGAGCATGTACCTAGCACGCACAGGGTCCTGGGTTCAATGCCCAGCACCTCCATCCAAATAAACAAATACCTACTTAGCTCCCCCAAACAAACAAAAAAACCACACATCTGTACCATGTGGTATGAACTTTTGGGGGGTTCATCTCTACTTTAAAATTATCACTGAATTCTTAGGAGTAGTCAGCCACAAATCTTCTTGTTTATCTTTGAGAGCATCAAATATACATTTACAACTAGCAGACGTGCAGGTGGATGTTAACGTCAAACCGTCAGGGCTGATATCTACAATTACAGGTTTTTTAAAATGTGAGTATGTTAAAGGCTTTAACAAAACTGCTGGGAAAACAAAGAAGTTTTCAGAAAAACAATCAAAAATGGACTCACAAATTTCCCTCTGCATCTGATTTATAACATATTATAATGTATAATTCTACAAGCTGCTTAATTTTCTCTGTGGATATATAGAGGTTTGGGTGTTGTCTCTTTTTGTTTTAAAATATAAGCTTCACATACAAAAAGGTATTTCTATAGCACAACAATTCAACCTTTCTAAAAGAGCTTCATTTAGAAGAAAAGAAAGAAATTTGTAATCCATTTAAATAATGAGGGAATTTGGAAGAGCAGCACCGTATGTGCATGTGTCTGTGTGATGGAAACAATAATGATACGATGAATTCCAGTTGCCTTGGAAACAGCATGACCGAAGCATATTGTGTATTCATAGTAAGAGGTGGGCCTATTTAGAAACATACCAGTATAGTACAAAGTCTACTTTCCAGGAAGAAATTCGTATCACGTTGCCTGTGGAAGCCTGATTTTATTCACAGATCCTGGTTTCTCTGACCAGCTCTATGTACATTTTGCTGAAAGGATGGGAACTACTTAGAGCCATTCATTCATTCATGAATATCTGGGGACCTATTCTGGGGCCACGGACACAACGCTGCTCCTGGGTGGTGCTTTGTTGCTGCAGAGCCCCAGGCCCGCCACACACCAAGAGCCCCATGAAGAAGAAGGAAACCTTACGGGCTTGAGAAATCAGTAAGTTTAGCAAGAAGAATTTAAAAATAAAGAAATGGAAGGACCAGCCCAGCAGGGAGATGGGTGGAAGTGTATTTCTGAGGACTTGAAAGGAAGCAAGAGATAGAAAGATAAAGACAAAAGTTTTATAGAAACAATAGTGTGCTGTCACTGAGGTACTGTTTATAATCATGATAACATGTTGCTTTTATTTAAAAAACTACACTGAAATGACATCGAATTGCAAAGTTAGTAGTTGGAAGGGTGTAGAGAGTAAGCTGAGGTGGGCTGGAGGGGGACCTAACTGAAGCCCTCCTCTGGGTACGGAGCCCATGGGACCTAGAGCAGGGTCTGCTGGCCCTGGCATCCTGCTGAACACATCCACAGGAGCCCTGGGACAGCCACTGCTCCTGCCCTGCACTGGGGACCACGGCGGCCGACCAGAGGATGGACAGCAGAGGGGCTGCGGCATGCTGGGTAATCACATCTGTAACTGGACCACTAAAGGAATACTACAATGCTGTGAAAAATATTTTTAAAATGGAGGTACTGGGGATTGAACCCAGGACCTTGTGCATGCTAGGCATGGACACTACCACTGAGATATAGTCTCCCCCTGGTGAAAAATGCCTTTGTTTGTCAAGTTTAGGTCCCATGCCCCAGAGTTTCATTCATTCTAATCTCCACATGTCTTTTTCTTTTCACAGGAAACTGGGAAGCTCTTGGCTTCTCCAACTTCTGCACTGATTTTGGTTTTATATCCAACTCGGTGACTTGCAGAGGCAACACTGCAGGCTGTGACCCACAAGCCCACATGCCTGAGACCCAAAGGTCATGCAGCTACAGCATCTGATGAGCTGCAGGGGCAGGGGGTCCAGGAAAGGCAGGGTGGAGGGGCCCAGATGGGGAGGCCTACCCGGTTGCTTTCACTTTTTGAACGGTCATTCTTAGCCTTGGCGGTCTTTTCTGCAAGCTTCTTCTGCCTTTGAGGGCCTCTTCCAAAGAAAATGTAGTTGACGAAGGCATACTCCAGAAGGGCCAGAAACACAAAGACAAAGCAGCCCATGAGGTACATGTCAATGGCTTTGACGTAGGGGATTTTGGGCAGCGTCTCCCGAAGGTGCGTGTTGATGGTCGTCATGGTCAGCACGGTGGTGATTCCTGTAAGAGAAACAGAAGGGTGAGAGGCTGCACCTCCTCCCCCAGGTCCTCACCTCTCACTCTCCTTCTTTATTTTCTCAAACAGCTTGAAGTCGTTGGAAATAATGGACTGAATATTATTGGGCGATCAACTATATTCAATACCTTGCAGTAACCTATAATGAAAAAGAATATGAAAAGGAATATATGTGTATATATATATATATATATATATATATATATATATATATATATATATATGTATGACTGAAACATTATGCTGAACCCCAGAAATTGACACCTTGTAACTGACTATACTGAAAACTGACCATAGTACAAACACCATGCTGCACACAAGAAACTGACACACGTAAACTGACTATGCTTCAGTAAAAAAATGCAATAGAATACAAAATGTATTGTGTGGTCTGCAGGTCACACCGCAGGCAGGGAGCTGACTTCTTTTAAGCCCAAGGCAACACCTCCCAGCACACCTGGCCTGTGGATGAGGAAGGGCTGGAGCAAAGCAGAGGCTGTTCTGCCTGAAAGCTGGAGGAAATAAAAATAAACCCATGGTTTATCATAAAACACTACATGCCTGGATGAGAAGTTCCGGGAAGAATGAATCTATGAAGAATCTAAGAAAGCATGATGGGAGAGGCAAGGCCGTGAGTGGGGATCCATGATCCTGACCATCAGAAGAAAACGGCTCTTCCTGTTAGCTAGTTAAATAAGTAAGAGCCCCAGGCAGACAGGTGGAGGTGTGCCCGCCTCCAGCACAGAGCGGCTTTACCTCCTCTAAGTGAGTGCCAGCAAGAAACCGGTTAGGACCTGACAGCCACAACTGCATGGGAGCGACAAGGACCTAACTGGACGTAACCCAGTGCTTATTGTGATATCGTTAGCATTGTGGTTTAGGACCCACCCACCCCTGGTTTTTCCTGTGTGCATCATGGGTAAGGACATGTGCAAAAGGGGACAGACATGACTAAGCACTCCAAGGACAAGAGCCATCAATCACTCAAGAGACCACCTCTAAGTGAGGGTCTAAGAGAAGGTACAAAGACCACTGCCATCTGCCCTCGGATCAGCCCGCCGCCAGTTCTTGCAGGTGTACTTTGGCTCTACTAATAAAATCTTTAAAATCTTTCACAACACAGCACTTAAGTCTCCTGTCTGAATTCTTCTTTTTCAGGTAAGACAAGAACCGAGGCCTTTTTCCTTTCCCCCTTTGGAGTGACACTGCCACGAGGCCATATGAAGCAAGGGGAATGAGGCAATGACTTAAAACCATTCAGGACATGATCCAGCCCTGAGTGCAAAGACGGGGAATGTCTGAGTGAAGCCTCTGGGAACAGATGACCTCACAGAGTGACTTCCCTTCTCAACTAAGACAGAGGGTACATAATATGCTCAGGACAGGTCACGGGTTAATGATTTGACTCAAAGCACGGCATCTTACCATGCTCTCAGGCAACTGATCAGATCCTAGGGTTTTTTTCCCTTTCATGTCATTATTTTCAATTCTCTAGATAGTATCGTGTGAATAATCTCATTTTTCCCTAATGGAGCTAAGTTTTATCTCTAACAACAAGCAAGGAACAAACTTTGTAATTCTCCCGTAGCACTGGGCATGTTCTTGGTGAACAAAGATTCCACATCGATGACCTGAAGTCACAGAGAGCAGAGGACACGCTGGCTGGTGACGTGACCAGAGCTTGCTGAGCTGAGTGAAGCCACACACACGTGGGGGAACGGGCTGTACCACTCACTTCTTTGTGGCACGGGCATTACTGAAGCTGGCCTGCTCTTTCTGACACAGTACTTTTGAAATATTAAGATGCCTCCCCAAAGCAAGGCAGCTTCAAAGAGTCAGCTCTTTTCTACCCAGGCAGCTCATGCCATGGAATGCGATTACTCACGTGCCTTCCAGGACCCAAAGGAGAGGGTCACTGCTAGTCAGGCCTTCCCTCAAAAAGGTGAGAGCCTCAGCCATGGTCCTTTGGTCACAGTAACTCAAAAAACCAACGATGTCACCAAGGCCAGAAGATCATGCAGGCCCAAGAGGTTGAATCCCCCTCCGCACAGTCTCACCAGACCATTTCTCCAACTCCCCAGACCCCCACCCAACTCTCCGGGAGAGGGGGTGGGTTTGTTAAACATCTTACTTTGATGCCCTCTGGATTCCCATACCACCCTTGGAGGAGTGCCAGGCCGCAGAGCTCCCTGCACTCACGCCCTCTGGAGAAGATGTAACCGAGCAGGACCCCGTGGGGTCTTCCCGGGACAGACCCCTCCGCCACATCCTCTGCTGCAGCTCCTCTCTGAAGGACCCAGATACTAGTATCTCATATAGATTTCCTGAGTTTTTCACATGCTGAAAGCCACCACCAAAAGGAAGAAATTAACTGCTTGATTGAGAGCACGTGGCCCCCAGACCTTCTGGCACCCGGGGGTTGACAGTGTTAATGCCCTGTGACCCCAACATCAACCAATCAGAGGACTGTGCGCCAGCTCATCAGGTGCCCTGCGACACCCCCTCCCTCACCTGCCTTTAAATATGCTTTGCTGAAACCCTTCGGGGAGTTTGGGGTTTTCTTGCACATAAGCCACCCCGTCCTCCTTGCTCGGCCCTGCAATAAACCTTTCTCTGCTCCAAACTCTGACGTTTCAGTTTGTTTGGCCTCATGGTGCGGCAGGTGCACGAACCTGCCTTCGGTAGCAAAGAGGCAAGAAGGCCGCTTCTGTCCTCAAACACGTGCTCCCTCTACCCGGCTCTGACCTGCTGTAAAAGAGGAGGGAAGTGCAGAATGGAACTGTCTTTACCTCTGACTGCAAACAATGTCCGCTGATGGAATCTAAGGAAATCGGTATTTTAAGAGTCCCCTTTAATATAAAATTCCTGTGCACCTGGGGATTTTTAAAATTTGAAAATGGCAATGCGATCATCACAGTTTACAAAGACAAGCAAAACACCATGCAGATGCTACAACATTGGTGCTCTCTCAGCCTTCAAAAATTTTGTAATGTTATTTTTGTTTTTCCTTCCAAATGGACTTTGGAGAGTGCCCTGCCTTAGTCACTGCTTTTGGCTCTCCAGTTGACTATTCTGAATGAATATGTGTTAACACGAGCCTCAGGAGATGTCCCCAGGAAATGGGCTAAAGGAACACAGGGTAGGGACAGCCAGCACACGGAACGGGCGCTCATCCTGGTGCATGTGGCCGTGGGGACAATGGGCAGGGACGCTGGCCTCAGGCCCATCACCCCCGGCTCCAGGAGTCCCTGAGGAGTAAGGCTTGGCGGTGACTCTTTCCAGGGTAGGCTCATGAGACCTCTCAGCTTAGAAGACCACATATTCACTGATGCCTGGTACCCTACTTCCCATCTGGATAACTGGACTGTGGTGGACGGCAAGGGTTCACAGCCTGGACAGTAGGACCACACGGCCCAGCCAGAAAGCCCAGCTGTGCCACGTCCCAGCAGCACGACCTGAGCGAGCCTTGATGGGTCCACAAAGCTGCTGTGAAGTTTAAACACAGCAGTGACTGGATCATGGTAACTGGCATCGTTAACACTCACGACAAATGTGATCATCGTCAGCATTACAGAAAAATACACTCTCTGATAGTCTCCACTTTCTTGGCAGGAGACCCAGTCCTGGCAGCCCTGCCTTGAACTTTCGATCTCCAAGGGGACCCCGTCAGACTGCAGAGCGGGAGACGACTAAGTGGTGCCCTTCTGCGTTCTTTGAACATTTACCAACCAGTTAATCTTGATAATTATTAGCCTCAGTTTATTTCTCATTAACATTATGTTAATGAAATATTATATTTGAAAAGCTGTGTTTATAATAAAAATATAATTTATACCATTTAATCAAAAGATAGTTTTTCTTCTTTATGATCAAGATAATGTGGCCTAAGTGATTTTAGTATAAATTTCCACTTCCAGAAGGATCAATATTATTATTCGCTGATAAGTGGACTTCGGGGGTTTTGAGGAAACCGTGAAGACCGTGTAATTACAACTCCCAACTTTGCAGTCTGGTAGCTTCCAACACGAATGGTTAACAGAGGTAGGGGGCAGACCCTGGGCAGCAGAAGCATGAAATGCTGAAGCACACAGGACATCTGCGCAGCACAGCTGGGTGAAGAGCCAGCGCCTCCCTTCTCAACAGAGAGACAATCGTGGACAACTCCAGGTCTGACAGGGCCCGTGCCGGAGGGACCGTGCCCCGGGGTCTTCACTGAGCCCCCCTCCGTGCAGACCCACATCGCGCAGACCTCGTTTAGAAGCCGGGAGCTCTCGCCACTGTGCAGCCAATCAGGATGAAGGCAGACAGCACACTTAGCCTTTCAAAGCGTGTGATTCACAGCAAGACACGGGAGTGGGGCTGGCGGAGGGGGAGTTCTCCAGTCAAAGCCCTCCAAACCAGGGCTATATCCCCTCCAAAAAGCACCGAGCACACTGGCATCTTAAAGATTCAGAGAGACCCCTCAATCAGAATAACCAATAATAACTCTTTGCTATGCTTTTTAAAAAAAACCCATCATTTTTACAACCAAATAACGCTTCTGTGTAACACATGTCTATTGACACTGTAGGAATCACCTGTCGTGGTTAAGGGAGGGGGCCCCGGAGTCAAACTGGATTAAAATCTTTCTTCTGACACTTAATCTTACAAGGCTTTGTATCAGTTCTGACTCACTTTCTGACCTCACTTTCCCGCTCTGTAAAATGGGAACAGTAACGCTGCCTTTGGATCCCCTGCATGATGGATAAGGTAACCACCCTCACCACCCTGCAGAGAACCTGGCCCCTCGGTATTTGGTAAGTTTCAGCCTTAATGACGGTTGCTGTTGTTACTCTGGGTTCATGATACACTTTCCCTTCACCAACTGGAGTCATCCAGCAGGTACTCCCCAAGTTGTGCACAGACCCAGGCTCAGGGACCGTGCCTTGTCGGGGAAGAATCTGGGACAGAGGGAGTTAGAGTGCTGGGGTCCCACATTCCCAGCTGGGCCTATGGGACTTCTTTGTGGCCAGACACTGCAGCCCAAAGATCACAGCTGCCCAGACCTCCTGGCCTCAGGTCCACCTCAGTACTGGTAGTCACCCATTCACTACTGCCTTCACGTCTTCCTCCCAGACTTCTGACATCAGTCAGAACCCGGCACACCTCCAGCGGTAATGCCTCAGCAACCCTGAGCATGATGTGGGAAGCTCCATGACGATGACGGCAGGACCGCCAGGCAGGGCCACTACCATCCTGCCAGCACCATTTGGTTCCCTGGCCCAGCAGCATTGTATCACTTTTCAAACTCTGAAACAAATTACTTCTAGGAAAGCAGAACTTACCCCTAAGATTCTATTGGTTCTCTAAAGTAACTCCTGATTGGTCCATTTGTGGTGCTTCGTTTACCTGGAGCTCATTCCTGATTGGTCCATTTCTACAAAGTTTGTTCCTGATTAGTCACCTTTGTTATATCTTATTTGTATATGATGTTACAAAATGTTGCAAAGTGTAGACTGGTAGCCTATAAAAGCCTCTGTAAACCTACAGCCGGAGTCCAGAGCTTGGAGTGTTAACTCCTCTGGGCCCGCTGGCTTAATAAACCTGAGCTCTCCAACCTCCAAGTGCTGCTTGGTCTCTCGCTCGGATCCAGGTTGCTGTCACAACTGAGCTGTAACACTGAGCTGTAACACGCTTTTCTACAATAGGCAGACCATCTCTTTGTCCCAGCAAAACTACAGAAAGATGATTTAGGTTTACAGTAATCATGCCATGTTGTTAAGAAAAAGTGGAATCTACTTTTATACACTATAATGAGGTTGTGTCCACTATAACCCACTCCAGCTGGATCTTTTTTTTAATATTGTGGGAGACAGTGTTTTACAATTAAGGAGCTATAGAGTCTGTATTATCTAGAAAATCAAGAAATTCACATTTTCAGTACATCACACTTCCAGTGATGCCAGATAATTATGGTTCTTTGGTACTTGTAATTCTGTGATTACCTCAAAATGATGGATTCTCTGAGGCAGATTCACTGGAAGCTCACAGAACATCAACTTCTGATCTTCGTTATTTTTTTTTTAAAGAGGGGTGATGGGCTGGTAATTAGGTTTATTTATTTATTTTTTTAGTGGAGGTACTGGGGATTGAACCCAGGACCTTGTGCTTGCCAGGCACATGCTCTACCACTGAGCTACACCCTCCCTTCTGGGCTTCTGATCTTTAATTCAGGCCTCTTACAGGTTCGGGGAGGGGGGTCTCAGAAATTCTGCACTTGTGGATTTTATACAGTCTTTTTCTTAAAGAGACCCCTTTGATGTTGTATTAGCTAACAGTTCCACAAAATTTGGGTCTGCCCCTGCAAATTCATTTTAGCTCTGAATTTTCTGGGTGAGAAGAGAAAACAGCTGGACAAAGAGTAATCTAGTAATATTAACAACATCAGCAAGAAAAAAAAGCAAAACCTACAGCAAACACCAATGTTACAAGGTAACTTGTGCAGGCTGTAAAAAACCCTGAAGGTTTTTTTAGGAGAAAGCTTATCATACCCATTAGATGCAGATTAATGATTAATACAGCACTTTGGATTTTTTAATACTCTATTCTTACAGTGTTTTGATATTCACCAAACACCTTAAAAATAGCTATCCAGGTCACCATGGTATGTTACTTCACGAGGAAAAAAAATCTGATCTTGAATCTGTGGAAGTCACGTATCTGTGGGTCTAAACCAGGCATCCAGTCCACACGTGTATACACATTCCCCTGGAAGCAAAATGCTAATCAACGTCACTTCCTGGGAAACCACAGTAAATAGAAAAAGGAAGAAACAGGAGCAAATGGATCCCCGATTCTTAAGCTTCTCTGTGGGGTGCCCAGCAAATGTGTTGTAATTCTTTCCCATCAATTCTGAAAGGTATTATTGACTTCCCTTCCAGGAAATAAATTCAACCCTACCCAAAGAAGGGATGGGCTGGACAACTGCTCTTCACTCTGTACTTACCAAAATGTACTTAAATGATTATTTTGTCCATGAAGGTTCATAACAATTAATTCAGTAGAGAAGACTGTTTTCTAAAAATCTAAGCCTTCCCTTAATTATCAAAAAATATTAGAAATAATACTGTAACACACAATACACACTGTACATCAGCTAGCAGTCCAGCTGTCAAACGACCAGTGGCCAGAAAAGGTCACTAGAACTCTTGGGATTCTCTCAGCATCTAATAACGTATTTGAATGCTCATTAACTTGTGTAATTCCAGTTATATGGTATAACATTTGACTTTTTCTGACTTAAAAAAGAATGCACAATTAATGAAGTCTTCTTTCTGGGCCACATAATAATTTTGAACAGGAGATGTTAATCCTTGCTTTAAATTAGTATCAAAAATAGTTTTATTATGCAAATATTCAGCAAGCGTATTTTCCCTTTCGTGGGCATGAAAGTTCCCATTTGAGCCTTCTAATTAAATTAACGCATCAAGGGAGTCATGCATGAAATTAGTGTTTCAAGATAAAAAGCGGCTCTGTGGGCAAGCCTGGTGTCATGAGGTCAGAAAAGCCGTGTTGAAATAAACTTCCCATTTCAGGTATCATTTTCAAAGAGCACGTACCAAGGGCAACTCTGGCCGCAGATGCATCGTAGTTGATCCAGAAGGACACCCAGGAGAGAATCGTAATGAGGATGGAGGGCATGTAGGTCTGGAGAATGAAGTAGCCAATGTTTCTCTTCAGCCGGAAGCTCAGGGAGAGCCGAGGGTAGGCACCTGCGGGGAACAGACAGGGTTACACTGCGGGGCGGACGCGGCGGGCGAGAGCTGGCCCGGCTGCCCTGCTCAACGGCAGGCGCCGGGCAAGCCCGGGACGGGGAGGGGTCCACAGCCATGCAACCTGCCTCCCTCCGTCTGCCGGACGGTCTTCACAGAGAAACCGGCAGAGGAATGATTTGCAGTCGGCGCGTGAGCTCCCGACGAGGCTTCTCTTCCAAGGTGAGATGCTCAGCTGAGAACTACCCCGGGAAAACTTCGGGAAAGCTTTTCGCTTCGCCTAGGGAACAGTGCCAGCTATCCTGTTTACTTTTCAATTAACGGTCCCCTTCCTCTCCACTGCAGATCGGGGAGATGGCGCTGAAAACGGTTCTCACCAGGGGATGCCCTGTCGGTCCACCTAGAGCGACACCGCGCACAGCTGTCCGAGGCGCCGACCCGGGACCAACCCGGGCGGCTCGGGGTCACCCCGAGAGCGGGAGGGGCTCGCAGGCGGCCGCGAACTCCGACATGCTCTGCTCGCACCACAGAAAAGGCACAGAGGCACTGCGGGCGGCGGCGAAGCACCTGGTCCGCCTCCTTGTGGTCGAATCCCAGTGCTGATCCCCTCATGTGCGCACCTCTGAACCCACCGCCACCGCCACCACTGCGGAGCAGAAAACAGCCCGCTGACTCACACCACGTGCACTTACACATTTGCCTCTGCTGTTTTATTTTGTTTTTCTTCTTGGAGCGAGGCCAGTGGGGCCTCTGTTTCCTCCTGTTCTTCCTGTCCGTTTCCACAGTCCACCTTATCAGTTTCAAATGCCACAGCTCTGAATTTTCTGGACACAAATGAAGCGGCTGGAAGGTCAGCCTTCTCTGATCATCAGCTTCCTTGACTCACTCCTCCCTTCACTGACAGATGGTACCCTCTTCCTGAGATTGCTCCCGGAAAGTTTCAGGAGACCTCGCTTTTTTCTTTTCTTTTTTGGAGGGGGGAGGGGGGTGTCTGGGGAGAGGTAATTAGGTTTTATTTTTAATTTATTTTAATGGAGGTACTGGGGATTGAACCCGGGACCCTCATGCCTGCTAAGCATGCACTCTACCTACCTTCCCTCCCCTCCTCAACCCCACTTGTCTTGCTCTCCTCCTGCTCCAGGCCTGACGGGTTCCTAGCCCCTCCTGCCCCTAAACATATGCATTTCCCTGACTGCACATCCCTCTCTGTCCTTATATTCTGTCCCCTTGTCAGTCCGATTCTCTCGTCTGACTGCTTCTTCTATGTAGAAGATTAAAGACTTTAATCTCTGGGCTCCTACTTTAGCATCAACCAGATTTTTAGCCAAAATTATATAAAAGGGAAAAGCAATCACCTAGTAGACCCACCATTTAAAAGCTGACAACCTGGCAGTTTCCTCCAATTTTTTGTGTGCCTGTGTGTGTGTGCAGTTTGTTTTTTTTTTTTTCACACAGCTCTGATCCAATGCATATAACATAGTGTCACTAGAGCATAAACATTTTCATGCTTATTACAAATTACTTATAAGTACAATTTTAAACTTGTCCTAATTTTCCGTCAAGTACATCCATATGGATTCTGTAGTTTATAAACACATCTCTCTGAATGCTATACATTTAGGTAATTTACATTTTTACAAAACTTAAAGTAATACTCTTAGGAGTATCTCTGAGCAGAGACCCTTTGTTATGGTTAGACTTCTTTCCTTAGGATGAGTGGGCGAAAAGAGGAATTGCCAAGCCAATGGTAAAGGCTTTTGCTACACATTCCCAAGTTACTTTGCAAAAGACCCACACCCACCCCTACACCCACACCCACACCCATCCACACACCCACCCACACACACCCACACCCACCCACCTCCACACTGGTGTACACGCTACTAGGCGCCCTTTACGGAAGTGCCTATCTCATTTGGTAAACCTAACTATATGATGTAATATTTCTTAAAAAAAACTTGTCAATTTCCTTGGGAAAAAATGTGTCCTTCCGATCACTTTCTTTCACTGATTACATCCTAAATGTTCGTTTTCCCCCTGTACTTAATCTTAGAATCTAATTATACTATTCATTCATTTTTCTCAATTTCTGATCCTCTTACTGCTTTTACTGTTCATGTAAGTTCCTTTGATACTGACCCTTGCTTGTGTTCTTTGCAAGTATTTTCCTAGTTATTTGTCTAGAAACTTACATACCAGGTTAGGGTGGGGAGCATGGAAACACTTAAGTTTTTGTACTTAGCTGAATCTGTCCATTTCATTTCTTTTTTCCCCCATGATATTTAAAGTTTAAAATTTTTAAGCTCAGGTAAGTTCACAATAGAGAGCTAACCACAAACCTATTTTGAAGGCTGGCAATTGTTTCTGTGTTTGATATGAAGTCAATGTGCATGTTGGTTCTTGTTCCACAAACAGCTAACCAATTTTTCCAGCTCATCTATTTTTCCAACCAATTTCCCTTCATCTATGAAATGAAGCTTCCCTTGACGAAGATTTCATACACTCTGTTGTTTTATATCACATTCCATGTCCATGTGGGTCACAGACATGGTGTGCTCACAAGCCAGGTCCAAGCCCCATCATGGCCTGGACACCAGCAGGTCCCTGGCCCCACACGCCATCCACACACGTCAGAAGCACAGTCATCAGGTGTTCAATATTTTCTATCTTCCCAGAAAGGTCAAAATATTCGCCCAGGAATTTTACTTTCTCCAAAAGATTTTCCCAAGTTAACTTTAGCATTTTATTTACCACCATGTCTCTGCATTAAACATTACATTTTCTAGCCAAGAAGTGTCCTTATCACCTCAAAATAATTGTCCATATTATCTGCGCCTGCTGACTCACACCTACTCTTCTCCCCTTAAAAATGTCTTCCCTTATCCATTCTTCAAGGCCTTGGTCAAATGCCACATCTTCCATAAATCCTTTCTTCTTCCCTCCAAATGTAAATAATTACCCTCGAGTTATTTTCTTTCTCTTTAGAATCATAATTATTCATGTTTACCAAGCTCGGAGCTTCCTTAGTACATTGTACAAACCCCTAGGCAGAGTCTGTGAAGCACTGTATTTTCCATACACTGTAATACCGAGCTAAACGTCTACACCACCTTTGGTTATTAATAACCACCCGGTGTGCTGAAAGAATGAAAACTGGAATATTGGGTTTATTTATGGGGCTCTTCAGCAAGTGTAATACTCAAAACAGTCAGTAACTGTATTAACTTTTAGTCTGAAATCCCCTGGCAACTTCAATATCCTCACTAAAGTAAATTCAATATTGGATCTTAGTTTGCAATTTCATGGCAATCTCAAGCCTTACCCATCACTTAGCATTTGTGACCCTATGCTCCAGGTATTTGTCACAATATCCACTCCCCTCAAATCTCAGTTTCTCTACAAGGAAGATCATTTTTCTTTCTCGTGCTACACAGCCACTTAGCTTCCTGCATCTGGAATAGCGCTGGACATCGTGGGAGAAGTACCACACATACTTCCCTCCCACACTTCACTGTCCAGAGCAAGTCTCATTGTCAGTCTTCACGTCACTGGATAGCAGAGCCCAGTCCTCTCCCAGGGAAGGGCAGCAAGTAATTTTTGAGGAATAATGCAATCTCCCGTGTTCCCCCACTTTTCATTTTCTGAGTCAACTTTCTTAACATTTTCCAAAGTGCATCTTCCTCAGGGAACCTGTTCCCGACAGAGGCAAATACTGATACCCATGCAATGAAGTCCAGTGGATGCTCTTGTGGGAGTCCTTCCCCCGGGCAACATGGGGCCAATGATATGACTGCAGAGTCAAGCATTTGGAAGGTCATCAGTGACCTTGAGGAAGGGAATACTACTCAGACTGCAAACCTACCTTAACTTCTGGGAATTCACCAAGATACTCATTAAAATGGAACTTAGAATTAAGAAAACATACCATTTTCTTGTGTATTTGTTTAGTAAATACATTCTGGTTCTTAAACGTGAAATACCACTTCAGATCAACAAAATTTTTAGGCATTCACTGTGTGCTCCCCCACCCCCATCCCAATCTCACAATCCCACAGGTAGGACTGGTGGTGGTGGGGAGACAACAAAGATGAGTCAGAGGAGAGTCTATGCTCTCAACTAGCTCCTAACGTGTCAGGGACAGACTTATACAGAACTGGCCTTGGTAGACCAGCGGTAAGGGCTACACCGAATATTCTAGGGCACAGGATTTAGTGACACGGGAGAGGCTTCCTGGTACCTGAATTGAGCTACTCCTGGTTAAACAAGAGTCTTTACAAGAAGGGAAGCAGAAGCAGCTTCGAGGCAAAGGATCCGACAAGGCCAAATGAAGAAAAGGCTTCCGAGATGCCATGAGGTAGAGGCCTCGGAATGTTCACAAACACGAGAGTCGTCAGAGGTGGCGAGACTGGTTCTTCCTGGCGAGGGCTTTTTCCATCCAATGTGCACCTTAGAGAGCACGTACAGTCTTCTGGAAGCTCTGTTAGACAGAGCCTTCACACGGCTGCCGTAGAGGTCATGCTGCAAGCTGTATCTAAGGGGGAAACTCCCCAAATGGTCATCACTAGTGGCTGAGAACTTAAAGTTGAGAAGTGGCGAGTCAGCTGCACCAAGACATAACCTTCAAAAGAGCAACAGAAGCTTCAGAATGACAAGAGCAAGGCCCAGGAGCCCCGAGGGCCGTGCGCCAGCGCAGCTGCGGGCAGGCTCCCCAGGACCCGCCGGGCCGACGGCCGAAGGCGCAGTCCCCGAACACGAGCGCACCGTTCCGGTTCAGGGCTTCCTTGGCAAAGCTCTCTACTGAAGGGGCTGCTCTCAACTCCTTCTCTCCAGATCCACTGAAAGTTGTGGCCAGAAGCGGGGCCCTGGCTCTCTCACCCAGCCTAAATTAATAGCAGTCTCTGAGGCATTCGTATTGTTGAAGGACTCATAAAAATGTGGACACGGAGTACCATGTCACCTTTGTGGAAAGATAAGACCTACTCAAACGTATCTATAAAGTG